AGGTGCGGGGCGCAGCCGTGCGGAGCACCCGCGAGCTTTCCGTTTGGCCAGCCGGTCATCGGCACAGCAGAGAGAAACTGAGCACGGAGGCGGTACCCGCACCGCGCTGCAGGCTCTCGGGCTGGTGTCTCTCCGGACAGCTCCGCCTGGTCATCAAAGGTGTGAGATTGCATAGGGCAGTGGATGAACAGAGGGACTTGACTGGAGGTTCGGAAAGAAAGCAGAATCCAAGTGCAGACATCTGTCTCATCCCTGGGTATCTCTGATGTGCCCTCCTACACACGTATTTTAATTTTTATTCTAAGGCGTGGTCCCGTTAAAGCAACACTGGTCACCACTACCTACATTATATATTTTTGCACAGCTCGGGAGTAGATCCCTAATGCTAAGTTTGGACCAATGAACCAGGATTTTCTGTTTTCCGACTGGAATTTTAAGAGTCGTGGCAACATTTCTGGAAACGACAAAAAATAGAAAAGGAACAAAACTGTCGCCATGATCTCTCCGTGGTGCTGAAGCAGCACTCCTTTGCCCTGTACTGTCACAGTCTCACTCAGGCTATAGCATTTCCCTTTAGCCTTTACGTTACCACTCTAATAGCAAATGTCTTTTACTCTCAATGTTAAATTTCTGTTAATTAAACGATATGCAAGATTGGAACACGATCTTCAATTTCCTAGTTTTTATATAGGATAGTCAGCATTAAAAAACTTATTTTAGACCATAATTATAATTTTGTCATTTGTTCTTGTATTGATTGTGCCTTGGGGTGAAGACAGGGCTGAATCAGAAACCTGTGCTTACGATGGGTTTTGGCTTAAAGCCGGCCACCGGACCTCGGAACTACATTTCCCAGAACCGCAGGCGCGCCTCCCGTGAGGCGGCGCATGCTTACTGGAGACACGAAGGCTCAGCTTCCTGCTAGTCGCGTGGCCGCGAGCTGATGACCGGAAGGTAAGTGTGCGGTCTTCTAGGTGGGCTGCTTTGAGTTCTAGAGAGGAGTGAGCAAATGGAAGCTAAATGGCTATCTCCTGCCCCGGTACTTAAGGGCTTCAGGAAGGCGCCGGTGGATGAAGTGGGACTTAGGACAGCGCGTGTGTGTGTGTCGTGTCTGGGACTTCTTGGAGATAGGTCCCACCAGCGGGGCTTAGAGTCTGCAACTGGCTTAGAGGGCCTCTGAATTGCTCAAATACAAACAATAGTAGCCCTGTAAAGAAAGTATGGGAGGAAGGCTTGGCGGAAACTAGTTTATTTTGGGTTTTGCTCTACGCTATACTTGGTTATACAGAGTTAATGATCATAGCGCGTTTTGAACCCGTTATCACGAGGAAATGTTTAGCCACACCCCTCCCCTTTTTTAAACTTCAAAAACTTCGAGGCTTACTATTTTAGGGTGGGTGCCTAGTACACCCAGGAATTTCCTTTGTGGGTCTATCTACCTTCCAAATTTCATTGATAAACCTAGTGTACTGGGCCAAGTCTTGGGGTCATCCCATTTAAATCTGCCTCATGGCTGGGTTGATCTCATGCTTAGGAGCTAAACTGGGATTCATACTTTCAAAACCCTTTTAGTTTTGGTAATTTGAACTTTGGGTCCAGGCAAAGGAAAACTTTTTTAAATCAACTGTTTTGAAAAAACTGTTATATTTTTTATCCTGCACCTAGAGTTGTCTAAACTTTTTTTGTGCTCAGCATGTATGATGGATCTTACTGTTTGAGTTACAAGGTACTTAATTTGTATCCCCAGGCATTTGTGGCATCATCCTTGCTCAGATGTACTATTGGAGTTTGCAGATTTTACTTTCCTGGAGTCAATGCCTCCACAGCATTTAGCTGTTACTGATTATCTTTATTCTTGATCATGTCCAGCTGTGGGTGGCCCTGGGTCAATGTATTCTATCTCTAGCCTCAGATATTGTTTGGAGAATGTTTCAGCAACTAGCAATGACCAGGACTATTCATGTTTATTTTCCTTTTTGAATAAACACTTTAATAAAAACGTCAGGCCCACATTTAGTGCTTGAAATAGACAACTCTGATCTTTAGGTATTCCTTACTGGATTATCAAGAATGTAAGTTCTAGCAAAAACCCAGAACTAGTGTTTTGATCTGTACCCAATCTAGTTCATTTCTGTGTCTTCATGTCAGACTATATACAGAAACTTTGAGTAGCATTAGATGATCAGAGAAGAATCATGGCCTAGAGCTGGCTGAGGTCCTCTTACACTGGGAAGTACTTAAAACAAGGTTCAAACTCATCATTTGCCAAATTCTTTAATAGTTGAGCTTAATACCCACTAATTAAAAAAACACCACAGTTTACAAGTCTTTTCAAAATGGCACTTACTACTTTGACAAAATTCACATTTCAGGTAGTTCCCCCAACCCCCCAAATTGCTGCATTTGAGAATGTCAGTTTAGAAATTTAAGTGGTGTATGGTACCTAATGTGACATAGGAAGGACCAGTGAAGTCCTTACCCTGTATTCTGCAGGCTTTTTAAGTCAGTTGTATTTAAAAGGAGAGAGATAAAGAACTAGGTTATCCTAAATACGATGGAAGGAGACAGGTAAAAAAGACTTAAGAAGGAGAAAGAGGGAAAGGAAGCTTCTTGGGCATGACACCATTTGCAAGGTCACAACGGACACCCCACCGAAGGGCAGATCTTTTCTTCTCGGTTGGTACTAGGTAATTGTTTGGAACATACACATGTTGAGGCTTGGACTGGGGTTCTGTTCTGGAAAGCATTTGTCCTCGGACATTCCAGCGTAGCTCCTTTCTATGATCTTCACCAGGAAACCGCATTGAATCCCAGTCCCTTTTGTATTCAAAATATCTGGCTACTCGGTCTATCTTGCCCCGGTTTCGGCTTAACTGATCCAGCCTGGGGAGAATAAAGGATTTGGGTCTGCTGGCAACAATCAAGTCTTGTTCATAAACAGGAGGGCCCATTTCTTCTCTTCGCAGATAGCAAATGAGCTGGTTTTCTTGTGAAATTCCTTGATATTCATATGGTAGGTTAAGTTTTTGTGAAGCATCACTTGGGGATTCTGTGCCTTCTTGAAATTGTAGGTTCATCAGCTTGTGTCGTAAGTCCCAGAGATCCAAATCACTTTCTGTACCAGATTCGGACTCACTGATAACAGACTCATCTGTCACTAGTACTTCCCCATCTGGCTTTCTGCGCAGAACCTTTCTCTTCATCACTGGCTTTCTGCATTTTTGGGAGGCCTCTGAAAATGTTGATGAAGTGACACGGCTTCTGATGTGGGGGCAGTGCAGCTGCACAGGCAGAGTAGGTCTCTTTCCTGGGGTCACTGAGGCTTTACTGTAGGGATCATACTGGCTAGCCTGGGCTTCTCTCCTAATATCTCCTTCGCCCTGCCCTGCACAGATATGTGTAAAAGCTGTAGCAGCAGCTAACATTCGTTCTTCTGGGTCCATACTGGCCCATTTTTGTCCACCGGGTCCTATCAGTTGCTCCATTGCTTCTTCTACACTATAAGGCTGCCTGTAAGAGATAACAACTGATCAGTTTTTACTTCATTAATTACTCATTCTTGTCTCAATTTTATAGTCAAATGGAAAATCCAAAGCAATAATAAATTCAGTAGTTGTGGTAGAGATCTATCTATTACTGCTTTCATTTCTACTCCTTTCTTAACTATTATTGCTGTGTTACATTTAGTGGCTCCTATGGTGTGGGCTGAGTTCTGGCATATGGGAAGCTTGAGACTACATGTAATGGACATGATGCTTACTGAACATTATATAACATGCTTAGAGAATGCTTTATGCATATGGCTTTATTCATATGTTTATTAATCCATATAATCCTTATATTTTAGGATGAGTTCTTTTTCATAGGAAGCTTCAGGAAGTTAACTTGCCCAAAGGTAGTAAACAGCAGAGCTGGAATTGTACCTTGGCAGTCTGAATCACACTGAGTCTTTGCTTTTACTCCTAAGTGATAATGGCCTGAAGTTCAAAAAATCAACATACTGGGCTGTGCACATACATAAAGCACACATATGTATGCATATACTCTGTGTATATGTTTAAGACAAATCTGTCCCAATAAAATCCAACCACCTAAACACCTAGTGGTTGGTTTCCTGACTGGGATTGAGGTAGTTTTATCTATTGCTTGCTACTTTGCTTTCCCTATGCTTCTCTTGAAGTTGAAATACATGCTTATAGTTTCAAAGGATTTCCCCTCCTTGATGAAACCTCTCTAAAAGGCAGTTTCTTAGCAGTTTTCTAATTTTCTGTATTCACACTAAAATTTTTTCACTGTAAAGGAACATGGCACAAAATCTTTCTGAACTTCGAATTGTGGTGATTCAACTGTCAGCACATGAAAACTACTTTACCATTTAATGTTGCATCAAATTTATTTATCCAGTTTCTTATTCACATAATCTACACTTATAGTTACTTGTTAATTAAAGTACAGCAAGTACCTTGTAAGCTTTTACACACTTGCACAAGCATGTAGCATAGGTCATAGGTTCAATTTCCAAGATGGCATTACCTGTGAGTTTTCCACTCCTCCACAGTGGTATACCATCAAACTTTCCAATCCTTGTAGACTGTTCCACAATTAATTGTTCTCAAATACTTGAACATATTTTACTTAGCTATGCCTTTCCCCTAGGGATATAGCTTAGTGACTGAGTAATTGCCTAGCACATCATACAGGAAGCTCTAAGTTCAGTTTTTTTTGTTTTGTTTTGTTTTGTTTTTTGAGACAGGGCTTCTCTGTAGCTTTGGAACCTGTCCTGGAACTAGCTCTTATAGACCAGGCTGGCCTTGAACTCACAGAGATCCTCCTGCTTCCCCCTCCCCCTCCATGTTGGGATTTAAAGGCATGCACCACCACTGCCTGGCTTCTAAGTTCAATGTCCCACCAGGCTTTCTCTGATAGTTTAGTAATATTAAAAATGTCATTTCCCCATATTTCTTCTAGTAATTTTAGTTTCACCTGTAAGATTTTAATGTTTAATCTTCCATCACAAACTCCAAAGACTAGAAGGGAACCATTTAGTTACAGTCAGCCCTAGAACAGATGTAGAAATGCTATCCAAGTAATTACAGTCATAGATTAGTTAGAACCACCTAAGTGTTCAGACTGGTATTGTTGCCGTTTGGTTACTGAAATACATGAGAAATTTCAACTTCCAGATCTAAATTATGTCACACTAACTCTTGTATAACTGTTATAGAAATCTTTTGGTTGTAAAAAAGCTAGTAGTTATTACCTTTTTTCTGCCATTACAACTGCTTAAAGAAAAATTTCTCCAGGTTCTACTTCTAATGTGAAATATAATTGTTGATTATATTATATTTCTTCAATTAAGACAGCTTCTATTGGGCCACCTTTAAAACAAAACAGAACATTAGATAACAATATATATGCCACTTACTTGAAAGATTATAAAACAATAAAACAGGAGTAGTCATAAGGAGCCCATATAAGTAATTGTCACTATTGAAAATACTGTATAATTTACTGAGAAATCAAGAGGAAATTATAGGGAGGAAAACATTTCTACACGAATCATCTTGGTTAGTAAGGAATAGAGAAATGAAATTGAGGCATTTCCCTAAATTTTAAAAAATAGGTGAATCTTTTCCTTTTCCTATGTGAAGTAGCCAGATAGAATGTAAAGGGACAGTGTCTGGGTGATGAATCCATACTAATTAAACTGTACCTTGGGCAATCTAAACCTACACTTTTAACATCAAATTAAATCTGAGCGTTCTTTTGTTTTCTCGAGGTAGTATCTTGATCTGTACCCCTGTCTGGCCTAGAACTTGTGCCCCCAGGTACTGGGGCTATAAGATTGCACTGCCATGTACAGCTTAGATGATAATTCAGTCACGTGACACTAACATCTAGCACTGGAACTGATGTATTACTTCACTCTTTTTTCCACAGGGTGGACCTGCATGATTTCTTCCTACAGCTGTTATGGCTGAAAACACAGACAGAAACCAGATTGAGAAACTTTTAAACAGAGTAAAGGAACTGGAGCAAGAAGTGAAAAGACTTAAGAAGGAACAGGCCAATAGTATCAAAAACTCAAACATCAGAGAAAATCCTTTAGGCTCTGGAAAAGCTAAGCGTGCATTTGATTTCAGTGCTCATGGTCGAAGACATGTAGCTCTAAAAATAGCCTACCTAGGCTGGGGATACCAGGGCTTTGCCAGTCAGGAAAACACAAGCAATACCATTGAAGAGAAACTGTTTGAGGCTTTAACCAAGACCCGACTGGTAGAAAGCAGACAGACATCCAACTATCACCGGTGTGGTAGAACAGACAAAGGAGTTAGTGCCTTTGGTCAGGTAAGGGCCAATACCTTATTTCTCAAAGCAAGTAATAATGGAAATCTGAGTGTACATACTGAGTCTTTAGATCATCTCTGAAACAGTTTCTTTCTGTTACAGGTGATTTCTCTGGACCTACGTTCTCAGTTTCCAAGGGGCAGGGATTCAGATGATTCTAACTTAAAAGATGAAGCCGATGATGTTGCTAAAGAGATCCGTTATACCCACATTCTCAATCGGGTGCTCCCTGCAGATATCCGAATATTGGCCTGGGCCCCTGTAGAGCCTAGCTTCAGTGCTAGGTTTAGCTGCCTTGAGCGGACTTACCGTTATTTTTTCCCTCGTGCTGATTTAGATATTGTAACTATGAATTCTGCAGCTCAGAAGTATGTTGGCACTCATGATTTCAGAAACTTGTGTAAAATGGATGTGGCCAATGGAGTGATTAATTTTCAGAGGACTATTCTGTCTGCACAAGTACAACTAGTGGCTCAGACTCTGGGTGAGGAGAGAAGGCAAGAACCTTTCCAGTTATGTCAATTTGAAGTGACTGGCCAGGCATTCCTGTATCATCAAGTTCGGTGTATGATGGCTATCCTCTTCCTGATTGGCCAAGGAATGGAAAAGCCAGAGATTATTGATGAATTGCTAAACATAGAGAAAAATCCCGAGAAACCTCAATATAGGTAAGTTAAACTAGTACATTCTTCTCTCTCCCATGATTACTGAAATAATAATCTGGTTCATTAAACTTTATACTACTAGATTTTGTTTTGTTTGTATGGGTGTTTTGTCTGCATGTATACCTGCACACCACTTGTTTATCTGGTAACCACAAAAAGGGTGTCAGATATTTTAGAACTGGAGTTACAGAAGGTTGTAGTCTACTATGTGGGCACTGGGACTTGAACCCAGTTCCTCTGGAAGAACAGTGAGTGCTCTTAACCACTGAGCCATCTCCCTAGCTCCCTTCACAAACTTCTGATTTGTAGAATGTTATGAACATATACTAGATTTTTCCATTAATAAGGAAATAGATATTTGGATTGGGCTTCTAATTCCCAGCTTCTGAAACTATAGGTAAGGTAGAAAAAAGGCTTTTCTTTTGTGAACAGGCTGTGGCTAAACAGTGATACCAGTAGTTCATTCCTAGGCTGTGATAATATTATGAACAAATCTGGATAAATAACTGGTCTTAAATTTTATGGTATGGGGAGCCAGAGTGTCTTATGGATTATCAACCCACATCTTGGTCATTTGTTGCCACTGACATTAACTTAATACCAATCAAATTGATCATTGCTTTTTTTCCTTCCTTTTAAAATGGAGTTGCTCCAGATTAAGACAGTGTAGTATTTTCTTAGATGTTACTAACCATTGGCATTAGTAGATCTTCCCTGTCCCCTTAATCTCAACTAAAGCTCGGTATTTTAAAAAGAACTATTGGCTAACTGCTGTGCATTCTTGCATTTGTTTCTCCTTAGCATGGCTGTTGAATTTCCTCTAGTCTTGTATGACTGCAAATTTGAAAATACCAAATGGATTTATGATCACGAGGTTCAGGAATTCAATGTTACCCACCTACAACAGCTATGGGCTAATCATGCTGTTAAAACCCACATGCTATATAGCATGCTACAAGGACTAGATTCTGTCATGATAACAAGTGGGGCAGGAACAAAGATGGATGAACTAACAGAATGGAGAAATGTTAAGCCCTCTGTCATAAAGCAAACTAGTGCCTTTGTAGAAGGAGTGAGAATGCGCACATATAAGCCCCTCATGGATCGCCCTAAATGTCAAGGACTGGAATCCCGGATCCAGCATTTTGTACGTAGAGGACGCATTGAGCACCCACATGTACTCCACAAGGAAGAAACAAAGGCCAAAAGGGACTGTGCTGACACAGAAGAAGAAAATAACGTTTCAGAGAATCCAACAAAGAGGGTCTGTATAATAGATGCAGAAGTTAACACTATTGTATAGGCCCAGCAAGCTAGACTCTCTATCAGGACAAGAAGCAACAACCAGCTAAAATTCTAAAGACTGGCTCATAAAAAAGATCGAACAAGTCTTAAACAGTAAAGGGTCTAAATATCCTCTAATCCCTGTCCAGAAGAATTATGAAATGAAAAAGCAAAAAGCACTTGTTAGCTATACCTCTGGAAATCTGTGCCTTGCATTTAAATTCATTAAAGCCTGATGCTACAAATATCATATGCTCCTTTTTCTTCTTTTTTTTTTTGCTAAGTCAACAGCATCTCACACTTGTTCCTTTTCAAGTTCCTTTTCAAGGCAAATGGTATAACCTCTTATCAGAATGATCTTTGCCAGAGTGTCTTCTAAATTCTACCAATTAAAGATTGGATAGATGCGTTTAGTGCCAAGTGTGATACTTCTTGGAATCTACCTCAGTGTAGTACGGTATATGTCTTTTTAAAAATGTTTATTTATTTATTACGTATACACTGTTCTGCCTGCAGGCCAGAAGAGAGCACCAGATCTCATGGATGATTGTGAGCCACCATGTGGTTGCTGAAATTGAACTCAGGATCTCTGGAAGAGCAGCCAGTGCTCTTAACCTCTGAGCCATCTCTCTAGCCCACACAGTATGTTTTTAATGAGGCAGCTAGTGCAGAAGTGCAGAGGTTGGCAATTTTTTTCTACCAAGGGTAAGAGTAGATATTTTAGGTTCTGAAAAATAATTTATGTTGCACTCTTCTTATGACCCTTTAGAGATGTCAGAACATTTTTGGTTTTTGTTGGCCAAGTTCTGGAGGATTCAACTTTGCAGAACTGGGAGACAGAGGGGTAAAATCTGTTTTGAGCTAATCAGGTGTACTGGCACACACCTATAATCCCAGCCTTTGGGTGGGAGCTGGAGGTTCAAGGCCAGCTGGGCTATAAGAAACTCCTCAACCAAACAAGAAAAAGTTTTGATTCCATGGTAGAAAATACAAGTCCTTTATAGGGTTGGAAATTAGTACATACTTAGTGTGACTACAAAGCGACAAAAGTTTAATTTAGGTAAGCCACTATGTCACAGTCATATCTTAAGGGGTCACTAAGAAGTTTTAAAAGCCAGAAAATTATGTAGCAAAAGCATTGCTAATATGCAAAAATACGAAATTCTTGACGCATTGTCCTTTGTAACAATGCCATAGCAAACGAACTTACAATATTCCTACTTTGGTAACTGTCACTGCAAGTGTTCTTCACATTTACTAGACATGTTTATAAAATCAAAGGTTTGCCAATCAACCAGTAACTAGTTTGTTTTTATGTTCAAGACTCAAAACGGATTGTATCTGGATACTGCTCAATACAAGGAACACACGGACAGTTAGAAACAATATTTACAGTAATCTGGTGCTTCCTTAAGTCCTATGGCTCCTAGGGGTGGAGTATATAATCACAGACTTGTGGGAATTCCAGGTTTAGAGGAAAAAGCAACACGATCATAGCTTTCACAGCCTAGCAGACGCCAGAAAAACAGTGATACCAAATGACATAACATTTAACGTCTTAAACGTCTGTATGTGTGTGTATCACATGGGTGTCCTTAGAGGTTGGGAGAAGGCATCTTAAGATTGGGCAGTTGTGAGCCATCACTGGGTGCTGGGATCTGTTTGAGCAATTTCTTACCATATTTTGGCTTGCCTTGACTTGAGTTAACCAAAAGGAAAAACCTAGAAAAGAAAAACAGACTTTAAGAAATAGCCCATATTTAAAAAGTCCCCCTCCAAAGCCCTAACTAAAAGGTGTTCTGCTCAGGAGTCTAGAGAAGCCAGAGTCCAAGGCTTTAAATTCGAATAAAGTTCTTTTTAAGACGCTCTGGTTCAGCGACCTTATGGTTGATAGTAAGGCATCTCAGAAGAAGCAAATGAGAAACCCCAGAATGTATGCTTGCAAAATCACTGAAGTAATATTAAAACTCCAAGGTAGGATTGATGTTGGAAAGATGTAAAGAAGGGCTTAAGTTGTACTTTCTCCATTTAAAAAGGTTTTGGAGTTTAATTGAAATATGTGTGTGTCTGTCTCTCTTCTGGAGCTGGCCTGGGATGATTGTGGACACTAAAGCCAAGAGGACTTTTAAATAGCATGCTTACAAAACATTGATAAGCTGTTGTCCCTTTGTGTTCAAACCACATTCCCTTTATTTTACCCCTCAAATGTGTTGATGCTCACAGAGTGAAATGCAACTTTTCATAAGGTTTACAGGTTATGGTCAGTTTCTTTTGTTTCTAATAAAACACGACGATCTCACCAGCTAGAGAAAAACTTACACAGAAGTTAAACCACCAATCTTATATTTTGTGAATGACCAAAATACTTATCTTAAAAAAAAAACTTAAGCAGTGTAATGGTCCAGGGTTATTACCTAGTTACAGCTGAAAGGATTCGGAGGGTGGGATTTTTAACTATTAAATTCCTGGATTCGGCTATAATTGAAATGATGGTCAAATTCCTGCTGTCTAGGAAATCTCATTACCCAACACAAGCGTTAGCGTTCACTTTCATCAGCACTGCGTATTGAAAAACTTAAAACTTAACAAACCTGAAAGGGCACTGTAATATTTTTGTCTGCATTATCAATGTACAGCTTTTATAAGGTTTATCTCTACCCGGGAAACAGTCATACAGAGCGGGTCCTTCAGTTTTACCCGCTATCCTAAATCCTAAGAAAACACTATGGAAGGCTGGTTATAGGTATGAGTCCACAAAAGGTGTAACCCGAACGTGAGACGACTTCCCTGCTCTTCGAACAATAACTACACGGGTCGCACCATCTGGCCGTGGGCGTGCCGGGAGCTCCGCTCCTTCCCCAGAGACCGGTCCCCCAGCCTCCAAGCTGGCCCCGAGGGCTCAAGTCAGCTCGCTCAGCCTCCGGGCAAGAGTGGCGCAAAACAGGGTGCACATTGTGACCTGGAGGAGCTTGGGCGGCCTCTGCCCCAGGCAGCCCACCCCGGGATTTACCTTGAATGCAAGAGCCCGGCCAGGGAAGGGAATGCAAATCCACGCGCGGCGGTCCGGGGAAGGAGCACGGGCCTCCGCCGCACCCTGGCCTAGGAAGTGTCCACCGCTGCCGGCTCCAGGCACGTCACCAGCCGCCACCACCGCTGCCGCGGGTTGGGTCGTCTCCTCGCCGCCCACTGAGGACCACAGATTCCCAATCACGCAGGAGGACCAATCGCCCTCGCTCACGCTCAAGGCTGTCGTTAACGGTCGGCCGTTCAAGTTTAAATCCCGGAGCGAGCCCACGCCCTTTTGCTCCGCCCACCAGCTCTCTCATTGGCGTAGAAGCCCGACGTCTTCCACGCTTACATAGGGATTGGTGCGTGTTTTCGTTCGGCCCTCCCCCGCGGGCCTGGAAGCGGAGTATGGGGCGCCGAGCTGAAGTGGGAACCCGCCGGGTAGTGGCGCGGAAGCTTTGGCCGTGGTTCCCTTGGCGTTGGCGTGGCGGAGGGACAAGGGGCTGGCCCTGCTCGGTGCTCCAGCCGCCCTTGGCCGCAGTTGGCGGCGGCGGAGGGGAGCGGAGGGGAGGGTTCTGGGGCGCCGCTGGCCCGGCTCGTGGGTCCGCCTCCTCTGCAACCCGCTGCAGGACGTCCTGACCGGTGCCCCCGCAGCCCTCCCGCGGCACAATGTGCTATCTCCCATAATGCACTATTATTACCCCTTTTCTGAGCGTACTCTTGACAAAATAAGAATTTATTTTTTAAATTATCAGCTGACGCTTTAAGGGGGGTGGGGAGAGTGTATGTATGTACGTGCCTTGAAAGAAAAAAAGGGCCCCAGTGCTTTGGGAATTGCTGAGGATAAGATCGGAAAAGAGGCCCCCATACTTCAACATTCTAGTCATTGGGATTCGAGTCTAAAGAATTTTTTATCCTAATCCTTACGGTTTTATTTTCTAACACAAAGAAGCAGAGAACACAATTTTATTTCTTAAAATCTAGAATGCGTAACTCAAACACTCCTCCTACCGTTTCGTAGCTCACTTTTTCTCAGGACCTTGATTTATTTAAGAAAACTGAGTGAATAAATCGAGATAATGGCAGAGGTAGACCGGATATTTTTTGGTGGCTGCCCCTTGATTGAAACATAACACTTCTTTAGTGAACACACCCTTTCCTCGGGAACAAATATTCAGTTTTCATGTTACACTACAGATTTTTCTTTTGCATAGAATGTCTAGTTAACGTGTCTCAAACAGAAGGGTAGATGATTTTTTTTTAAAAAAACCTACTTTTTGACTTTCAGTTTTATCCCTATACCTCAAGTATAGGAGCTTGCTGTGTAGCCCAGGCTGGCCTGGATCTCAAGAGTCTCTTCTGTCTGTCTCTACTAGGACTGCAGCTGTAGGACTGTCTTCACCTGCCCGCAAATGAAGATAAATTTAACAGTCCTATAGCCACACTTACTTCATACCTGATAGTTCAGATGATTTAATGTCCATGTTTAGTTTTTCACTTGCTTCTCCTTAAAGTCAGAATTCATCAGATTTGCACATCGTGATTGGTTTATCTTAAGTTTCTTTTATTCTAGAAACATCTCCATTTCCCTCCCTGTGCCTTATGCTAATTGGATTTTGATGACTCCCTCTAGCGGCTGTCTTTCCTCTGACACAGTTCGCTTTTGTTTGCTCCCCCTAAGTATAATTTATTTTAGCCCGCCAGCATCTTTATAGATTCAAATATTTTCAACTCGTTATATAGTCACGCTTAAGTTAACCAACCCTCATGATATCTTTACTTCCTTACCCCTTTGCTGGCATTTTAAAATCTCCTTCACTACAATTCTCAGGTTCTATCCTGTCTCTGTCATTTTCAATTTTTTTCTTCTTTGTCTTCTCAGTATAGAGGAATAATAGTAATGACAACAGCAAAATGAAAACAAGCAACTTTCTCTTGACAACGCTGCTGCTCTTTCACTTTGTCTGGCCCTCCTCTTTTCTTCACTTTCTTGTTCAGTTGCTTCTGAGTTTTGCCTCATCTGTAAACTCAGGCTACTTTTGACAGTCGCCAGTGGACTTAACAGACATCGACTTCAATTCTCTTGCTTAGTCCTATGATTATTTGATTATTTATCCAATAAATATTTATTGGGCACTCATGCAATTTACTGTGATATGTTTTGGTGATTTGATAACTGAATAAAAATTCCAGCAAGTGGGAGACTGTGAATGCAGGATCTTCAGTTTGAGGCAAGCCTGAACTACATAATGAGACTGTCTCAAAACACAAGAAGCTGGGGTTGTAGCTCGTGATCAAGCACTTGCCTAGCATGGACAGGATTCTGGGCTTAATCCTTAGTACCAAAACCAAAAGACACATACTGTGGGACAATGGTCTTGTATCCTGTAAAGATTTGTCACTTGTATTGGTTTAATAAAATGCTGATTGGCCAGTAGCCAGGCTGTAAGAATGTGGGGGAGGCCAGAATAGGAGAATTCTGGGAAGAGGAAAGGCTCAGTCTGCAGTTGTCACCCAGACGCAGAGAATGCAAGATGGGAATGGCTCACCTATAAAAGGTAGCAAGCCATGTGGCTAACACAGACAAGAATTATGGGTTAATTTAAGATGTAAGAGTTAATAAGAATCCTGAGCTAATAGGCCAATCAGTTTGTAATTAATGTAGGCCTCTGTGTGTTTCTTTGGGACTGAATGACTGCTGGACCGGGTGGGACAGAAACCTCTGTCGACAGACACAATCTCAAGCCTTAAGAAACTTCTTGTCCTTTAGGAGTAATTGACATTGATCAATCACAAATTTAAATTATGGTCTGTCAGCACCAACGGGTGACAAATTATTCAGAGAGAACTTCTGATACACAGTTTCAAGTGTAAACCTGAATATTTCCTAGCATACCCCAATTCTGCTTCAGATACCCAATTTCCATAGCTCTCTGGATGAAACCAGAATCCCTCCCATTGTCCTACGTGACCTACCTCTTAATTTCATCTCTACCACCTACCTTTTTTTCTGGTTCTCTTTCAGTCTCTCATCCGCGACCTTTGCCTACGCTTTCCCACTACCTATAACACAGCGCTCACTGCATCTGCCCTCTGTCAATCCTTTCACTTGTCTTTGAGTTCTTGGTTCACAACATAACACTGTGTATCCTTTGATCCATGATGTGTACACAGTTCTATGTAAAATCTAAATGGGAGCGAAGTGCATATTCCAGGTACAGGTTGTGGTGCTTTAGACTAAGTTGGTAATGGCCAGGATGTTAAGAAGGGGACAGATAAATGTATATTGTTGCTGCAGCTTAACAAAGAAATGTCAGTGGAGGAAAGATTTATTGTGCTTAAAGGTTGCATTCATGCTCACTTAGCTCTACCATTCCTGGGGGTTAGTGAGGCAGAATATCATGGTGGGTGCATGTGGTAGAACAGAGCTGCTTATCTTATGGCCGCTGGGAAGCAGAGAGATGGAGAGGTAGCTGAGAAGGGGCTGGGGCATACCTTCTTACCTACTTCCTCTAACTAGCCCCCACCTCCTAATAGTGTCACCAAATTATGAACCTTTACTGAGTTGATCAACTGCTGAGGTTGGACCCCTCTGATCTAATCACCTTCTAATGAGTTGATTCACCCACTGGGGTCCCATCCTTCAAACCACTGAGCTTAGGAGATGCTACACATCCAGAAGATACCTTGAGATATGCTGGGGAGATGAGAATAAGCAGTTAGATTAAAGAAGTTTGTTGTGTTGATGGAGAGCCGACTTGTTGGTAAAGAGCTCTAGCAGAGGACCCAGGTTCGATTCCTAGGGTCCACGTGTTAGCTTTCAACTCTCTGTAACTCCTGGCCCAGGGAATCCATTGCCTTCTGACTTCCACAGGTACCAGGTGTGCACATGGTGAGCATACATATGTACAACAGGTAAAACACTCATGTATGGAAAATAATAAAATAAATAAAGACATGTGTTAAGTGATGGGTGAGAACTGAGGGGAAGTTTTTGCTCTATGCAGCTACCTTCTTTTTGTAAGCTTGGATAAACTTGGAGTGGTCAGAAAATGAGAAAATGCATATTAGCATAGTATCTATGAAATAACACATTCGAACACAGTGTGCTATTTTTACTCTTTATTTTCATTAGATAATGGCTCCATCCCTTTTCTTATATCTTTTATGGACCAATCTGTCCTCAATATCATTTGATGCAGGAGAATTCCCTGTATTCTGTCAATCATATTTTAATAAAACGCTGATTGGCCAGGCAGGCAGTATAGGCGGGAAAACCAGACAGGAAGTAGAGGTGATGCAATGAGAACAGGAGAATTCTGGGAAGCAGGGAGGTTCCTGTGCCACTCCTGCGCAGACCACCAAAGAGGCAGCATGTAACTTGCCCAGCTGAGAAAGGTACGGAGCCATTATGGCTAACATAGATCAGAATAATGGGTTAATATAAGTTATAAGAGTTAACAAGAAGCCTGACCTAATGGGCCAATCAGTTTATAACCTTATGGAGTCCTGTGTGTGATTTTCCTTGGGATTTGCCAGCTACGAGGTACCGGGTGGGATAGAAACCCCAACAAGCCAGCCCTCATGTTACAATCATTGCCCGATGAGGTTTCCTAAAATGATAATCAAGTCACTCTGCTTACATACCTGCAGAGTAAATTCTGTGCCTGTACCCTATATAATCTGGACCAATACAGTGGTATGAGTAGGAATGACTCATGTATTTGAATGTTTAGCCACCAGGGAGTGGCACTGTTTGGGAAGGATTAGGAGGAATGACGTTGATGGAGTAGCTGTGACCTTACTGAAGGAAGTGTGTCATTGGGGATGGACTTTGAGGTTTCAAAAGCCTATGCCAGGCCCAGTATTTCTCGCTTTGCCTCCAGATCAGGATGACTCCCTCAGCTGCTTCTCCAGCTCCATGTCTGCCTTCATGCCACCATGACAATAATGGACTGACTAATCTCTGAAGCTGTCAGCAAGCCCCAATGAAATACTTTCTTTTATGTGAGTAGTCTTGGTCACGGTGTGTCCCTGTCAGTTTCTGCTGCCACAGTAGCAGCCTGCCTCTGTCGTCAAAGCAGTTACGTCATCGTATTCGGCATCCCCTATTCCAGGTTCCTCCCTTTCCATAACAAACAAATGGGAGGAATGTTTGTTTCTGCCTCTGCCCCTAAAGTGGTTACGTCACCACCTATTGCCAGGTGCTGTTTCACCTTCAGTTATGCTACATGTGATGATTTAACTACACTTTTTAAAACAAATATTCCATATATATATATATATATAT